GAGTAGGGGTCGGCGGCGGCGGCGAAGGGCAGCTCGGAGTGCGCGGCGGCCAGCGGACTGCCCAGGGGCGCGGGCATCGGCGTCTGGTACGCGCTGTTCCAGAAGGAGGCGGGGAAGCTGCGCTGGCTCATCGGGAAGGAGCCGTCTGCGGACCGGTGAGGCAGAGGGGAGAAGAGGGAGAGAGGCGCGCGTCATCCCCCGGAGACGCGATGGCCGACCCGGCGCAGGTGCCTCAGAGCTGAATGCGCGCGGCGGGCAAAGGGCGGGAAAGGGCCGGAAAGGGCCGGAAAGGCGCGGGGCGGGCGGGCGGCGTCTCTCGAAGCAGGCTACGGCGGGCGGGAACGAGGAAACCCCTTGGGGAGGAGCGCCACAGCCTCGGATTTTGCAGACGCGTCCCGGCTGCGGGAACCCCGAGACTGGCCGGGAGAGGAAGGGTGGAGAGACTTCCCTTCGCAATCCCAGTTTCTCTCAGAGCTTCCCTCAGACTCCCGGCCGAGCTGCTGGGCGGCCCGGGGCAAACACGGCCTCCCCTTCCCGGCCTGGAGCCTCTCCTCAAGCTAAAGATGCCTCTTCCCACTCTTGGTCGGCCGCCTAGCGATCTCACTTCCCCTCTCGCGTTTCAGCCTCCTTTGCTCCAGAAAATGTGCCCCTCCAAGGCCTCTGATGGACTGGAAGTCCATCGACATATTTCGAAGTCTTGCTATTATTAGCCTCCTTTCTAGAAACCTTCTTTCAATTTTTTTCCCCAAGAACTCAAGCAAAAGAGTAAACTTAACCTATTAAAAGGGCAGCTGTATTATTTGCACAGAGGGACACGAAGGGACAGGTCTTTTCAGTTTTAATTAGCAAACTTTCTGCATCAAAATGTGGACGACAATAATAAAATAATAATAACAACAACAACAACAACAACAATAATGATGATTATTGTCAGTATCATTGTTGACCGCTAGTGTCTGGAAGCATTTTAAGAGAACAGAATTTAGATCAAATTTATTGCTTTTAGTGGGGAGGGAGGGAAAGAAAGACATTTAATTAAAAAGACCTTTACTGAGCACTTCCTCTGGAGAAGTCATCTGCACTTCATAGTGGAGAATTTAAAATGCTTTGAAAATGCATTCTCAAGTACCGAGTAGTCTTCCTATTAAAATATTTAATGCAACTGGAGAATAAAAAGAATGTTTTGTATTTAAGTTTTGGATCTTGTCTAGCCAAGGCTTGTACAAACTGTCAAGACTCTTAAGAAAAAAAAAAGGGAGGGTGAAGGTTGTCATTTCTTCCCAAATATAATATTTATTTTCCTTTTTAGAACAAAGTCCTCATTTCTCAGCTTGATACACATCAAAAACTAAGATTAGTGAGAAAGTTTACCAAATAGTTACCTCCATCCTTGTCTTGATAATAAAGGGAGGTCAAGATTTCAGGACAGAAGGGAGATTTAGTTGACTTGTCCAAGAAATCACTGTCCCAGGCAAGATAAAGCAGTGCTTTGTGGGAAGGGTGAACAATAAGGAGGGTATGTGTTTGGGGGAAAACCTTTAGAGATGTTTTGTCTGCATCCAAATTCTTATTTCTTTGTTATTTTACTTGCTTATTGAAAGACATTTTCTGCTTTAAGATTTCCCAAGTTATTGAATCCTGGCAAAAGGCTTAAGTAGATTTTAGGAGACATTCTTCAGCCAATTTAGCTTGCATTGCATTTTAGGATTTTTTCCTCTGGGCAAATCTTTACAAACAGGATAAGGGTCCTGTAAGCTGCTCTAGGTGAAGATCCACTTTCCCCTAATCCCCCACCCCTGACACCTGACTTGGGAGACTGTTGGAAACCTATTTATTTCCCTAGCACACTTACATACATTTTTCTGTGTGTCTTACAGCCATCTCCGGGGTTACTTAAGAGGTCAAATATTATTCTAATTTTAGAGGCCAGTAAATAGAGTGACCTCCAAGAGGTTAAGAGACTTGACCAAGGTCATATTGCTGGAAGTGGTGGAGCCAATACACAAACCTAGGCTTCCCAATTCCAAGGCTAGTGACTTTCTAAGTCGCTGCTCTGCTCTACGCCTTCAGAGATATCTTATGCCTGTGTCTACTCTTCCTTTGATTTCTTTATCGTCCCCAAATGCCTCTCCTCACCTCCTCTCTGACACCTAGCATTCTTTCAGCGGCATCTCCTTGAGCCCCTGTAGGTGGACCCCAGGCTGTGAGGGCTCTCTATCCTCTGTTGCAGGGGGGGGGGCATACTCACCCCGCCAGGGCCCGGAGCTCCGCGGGGCTTTGCTGCTTGTACAGCTTGGGGAATAGCTGCTAGGCTGGCTGAGGGCCCTGCTGAAGTGCTCGTCCACCACGGAGCTGATGTCCCCCTGGAAATAGGTGAAGAGGACGCAGCGGGAGTTGATGTACTCCGCCTCTGGTGGGCGCTCTTTCTCCGGGCTGCCTTCTTCCTCTTTTATACTCGCCGGAGTCTGGCTAGAGAAGGAAGAGCTGCCGCTGCCGCTGCTGTTGCTGGGGCTGGCGTTGCACTCCTGGGCTTCCTGCATTTTGGAGTAATAGGCTAGTTTCTAACCAAAGGAGAAAGGGAAGACAAGTCAGTTTCAGAAGAGATGGCCAGTTGGGTTCAGACTGCACGCCCTCTTTCGGATCCCTGAGGTATCCAGGCGCTACTGACTCAGTGCCTCTGTTCTGTGCTCGATAATGTGGGCGGCAGTCAGCAGGCCTCCTAACCTGCAGCTGAACAAAGCGGGGTTCTTGAGAGGCAGACTGCCCTTCTTGGAGCCTCCGATTCCCCGAAGTTGCTTCCAGGCCACAGGGAAAGCTCTCTGAAGGTGTCAGGGTGAAGGTCCTGGAAGATGCCTAAGCAGTTTGACCTCAGAGGCAGGCTCAAGGCAGATATATTTTTAAAATCAGTCTCCAAGGGTAAAGGGCACCCAAGTCCAGTTAGGGCCTGACTGTTCCCTGCCTGAGAATTCAGGGCAGACGTACAAGATGAAGGATTAAGCATCCTTACAATGGAACATGAAAATAGCAAAATCCACTCCACACAACCAGGATGTAAAGAACTGCTGCAGAGGGTTTGAAACTGTTCCACGTAGGGAAGACTCATGTGGGATAAAAAGGTGGACTCATGCTGTGACATGGATCATTTTAATAAACGCAAGTTGGTATTTGTTTGGTCCTCCATAAACTGTCCAGTTAAAGAGCTCGGCTTTTAAAAAGATAGTCTTTTGAGTAAGAAAAAAAAAACAGTGGGCTATGAGAATTTCTACTCTCCCCATGTCAGTGCACATTGAGGAAAAGAGTAATAAAAAGGAGCAGAAGATGATCTTGGCTGTGAGGCTGGGTAAATGGTGACTGATAGTGATTTAAAAAACCAGGTGTAGCTGCTGAAAACATTTTTTAGAAATAAGCAATGGACTGAACGCAATGTTAAAGCATTTTGAGGTGGCCTTAAAGGGGTGAACCCGATCATTCAAAAATGAACAGAGATCTTGGTGCAAAAGATTGGTAAAGGGGCAGGGAGGAGAAAGGATCTAACAGAAAACCAACCCACCTCTCCTCTTAGCAATACTCCCAGCCTGGGAAGGAGCTCATCTTAGACACTGAAGCCAAAAGACTGGAGTATTTAGCAGTCTCACCACCTCTACCACATTCCCACAATGAGGGACTCTGGTGATTCCTAAAATTAACATTAGGACTAAACAAACTCCTGGTCTGAAAGTTTTTTAAAAAAGGAGAAGAGGAAGGAGAAAAGCAAAACCCAAACCCCCAAATCTAACCACTGCGTCATTAATTCATCAGGAGAATTTCAAATAGATATTCTGCAAGCAACATTGGCAAATGCATGGATTCGGGACGTTGAGGGTGTATTTCAGTTTCTCGGAAGCAGGAGTCTAGGCCCTCACTTTTGAACTTGGTCCCGACTCATAGGGGGCCTCTCCTCCCTCAGTGCGATCTTACTCATTTCCTGGACTACTGTCCTCAGTTTCGACTACATCAGCTGAGAAATGAAAAGAAAAACTGTTCGACCATATACCGCCCCAAGAAAAGAAAACTTGTATAATTAAACAAAACTTGAAGAGTTCGCAGAACCGGAGTTGAGTGGTGTTCTTAAGAATGGGTTTGTTGTCAGGGACTCAGGCTCGCGAAAGGCGAAGTATTACCTATGAAGCTTGCCTCTGCCGGGTCAGTCGTACCCAATAATATTCCCCCAGAGCTTTGCAAAGCAGAGATTATAAAACCAACGGGTTTCGTGCCCTTGTCGTAACGAATTAGTGGGTTCTGGAATTAATTGGCCTGATCGCCTGAGATTTGAAACGCAAAAAGAATATGCCTTGCAGGGATGAGAACTCGGGTCTTTGTATCTCAGAAAGATAGAGGCAGGCCTTTGCTTTTGTTTTGTCGTCACTGTCACCTTTGGGACCAAAGCTTGTTTTTTCCCTGCGTGAGCTTTGCTCGCATCTCCCAGCGCCAGCACTGGGCTCGGAAGAATCTGGAATCGGGTAAACTCTACGAAAAGAATGCAGCCCGCGCGATCCTCATCTGATTATTCCCAGGAAGACCTGAGCAAGCATTACTAAGACTTAGCTGTCTTCCCGAAAGAGCAAATGGGCAAGCTAAAGGGGTTAGCTCAAACTACTGGGTAGCCGGGCAGGCAATCCAGGCATCGGGGAGGCCTCGGCCTCTGGTCCGACGCCGGGGGCCCGCGCGGAGACGCCGCGGACCTCGGAGTACTGGCGGTGCTCGAGAAGCTGGGGCGCGCCACCTGTCTACGAGGCCCCGGCCCGGAGAAGACACATACCTGGTGGTAAGGGGTGTAGGCGGCTGCGAAGTAAGGCTGGGGAGGACCATAGACTTGGTACATAACATCCAGACAGCTCATGGCTCCCCGCAACGTAGACGGTTAAGTGTTTTATCATCAAGTCTCGGTCGGCGTAGGGCAGGGATGTCGCATGGGTGGCACTTGGACCCGAGCTCGCGAGTCATCGGCGGCAGAGCGAGGGGCAAGCGCGCTCAGCGGCTCGGGATCCCGCTCGCACGCTCGCCTCCCACCCCTGCAATTCCGGCCGCCAATGTGCTCCGGGATAGAAGCGCCTGGGCTCCCGCTAGTGGGCATTTAAACCCCATGCGGGGCGGGCGTACTGACGCCACTCCCAGGCCGCGAAGGGGGAGGGGTGGGGGCGGGGACTGGGGGGCAATGGGGCGCTAGGGACTGGGACCTCGGGGCTGCCGGTGCGTTTCCCCGGGCTACCCTGCGGCAAGCCTGTGGCCAAGGGTGAGGTGAACTGCGCAGCCCGGAACTTGGGCCCTGAGACTTCAAACCCGGAGGAGTAGGGATTTCCCCGGCTAAAACAGGAGAGGGTTGTGGGGGACAGAATAAGAGAGGGGGAAATGGAGGCTCTTACACTTGGAGAGAGAATGTTGTGTGGTGAGGAAAGGTCTTGTGGGAGTGTTCCGGCCTCACACTGGAGAGTTGAGTGTGTGCGTCCGGGGGTGGCGAGGTGGGGAAGATTCTTTGCTCTCGGTCCCTGCTGATATGCGGGAGGAAGGCGCTATCCCCAGGAATCCCCTAGGAGATCCGGGTCGTCGCAGATAGGATGTCAGAGTCCGGGGACTCCTCTCCGTGCGGAGGAGCTCCCTCTGCGGGGAAATGGAAGCGGCTGAAGCCTGTAACCACTGCCCTGCTACACCTCCTTTGCGCCGCCTCCGAGCGGGTCAACCCGCCGTCAGCTCTCGCACCTCAATTCCACTCAGTGGGGCCACTCCCTTCTGCCCCTCTAGAGTACAGTCTCGCCTCTTTCTCTTTGACGTCGTTCATCCGAACCCGCGTCGTTCGTGCCCCGCCTCCGGCTCCTCCCGGTACAAGCTGCTTTCGAGGAGTTCAGGAGGCCTTACTCAGCCCCCGGGCGCCCCGAATCTCCACGGCCGTCATCCTTTAAAAAGTTTCGGTAACTTTGGGGTCCAAGGACTCTTTGGTTGCAAGAGGAATTATCCTAGGAACTGCAGGGGGGTCAGAGAGGGCTTCTGCTGACTTTTCAGCCCGTAATACAGCAGCTACGATTTTCTGTTTCATTCTAGAGGTGAAGGAGGATACGCTCCGATTGTGAAACGCGCATTGCGCATCCCCGTTCTCTTTCTGGCCCCGAGAGCATTCCTGGCTCTTGCTTGCTGCGACGCTTTTCCTTCTTCTCAAGCACTCCTCCCCGAGCTCTGTGGGGAGGAGGATTAACAGTGGAGTTCTCCGTCCTTAATTTTAGGAATGAATAGAGACAAGGCTCTCTGTATGCCTGGTCAGGGATGGGGAGGACAGAGGATGGGAGCATTGAGACCAGACCCAAAGAAGAGGCAGCGTGGATTACTGACACGAACGGACTCTAGTTATTCCCTGGTTTAAATACAACAAAAAGTCCGTCATCGATTCGCAGGCTAAAAACTGCGAACAGATGCACCCTTAAAGACATTTGTCTTCAACACGTGAATATTTTACGCCAAATAGTTTCGAGTTAAATTTTTGGTTTTGCCCAGTTTGTAAGTGGGCAAAGGGCTCCATGTCTCCAGTGTATAAATGGTGAGAGGTCCTGAGTGAAGTATTTCTTTAATTAACTATCATGCAATCTATTTTAAAGAAAATTAAAACAGACAAATAAACAAAAGACACCCCTGTAGTATAGTTTAACGTAGTTTAACTCTTTAGGGGCCGGGCTGCCTTGTGGCTGAGTTCGGTTGGCTTCTGGAGCCTACCACGATCCAGGCGCACAGGTGAAGCAGAACATCCTTCCAACCACTACCCCAACCCTCCCTCTCTAGGAGTTCTGGAGGAGGGCAACAATCGCTTTATCCGTATTTCCTCTGGGGACAAAAGAGCGAATAGCCAATGGAAGAGCCACAGTGCGTGCTCCTGGATGCAAGAAGTGGGCGTGCAGGTCCCATTTCTCTGGAGGCCACGGCACACCCTCACTGCTGGGGACCGCTCTGTCCCGCCCCGCGCCAGGCCCTGGGTGGGTCGGGCCCTCAAGCCCCGGGTCAAGTGTAAGGACACCGCGGGACCCGAGGTGCCCACGCAGCCTGCTCCCGGGACTGATTCCTGCCAGTAGGAGCGGCGTCCGTGTGTCACACTCCCCTATTTCACCTAGGTTCCGCTGTCCATCCTCGGACGTAGAGATTCTACTCCAGCTTCTTTGAGTCAGGGCATCTCCAGGAGCACCTGTAGCCTGAGCTTGCTCCTTTCGGTGCAGCCCGGGCTGGGCGGCGTGGCTAGAGGCTGGCGGTACTGTACTGTGTGGGGATTGGGGAGGGAAGGAACCACTTGTCAATATTCACCTCCTATTCCCTGTACCCGCTCACGTTGACAGTTTAAATCTGACTTTGATCGTAAACTTTAGTTTTCACCTAAATTCAAGAGAAAATAACAACCGTTCCGAACCAGTAAGGCCCAGCAAATCGTTATTTTTGAAAAGGATTACAGGCGCAGTGATTTCCAAAATTTTGAACGAAGAAAATGAAGAGGATATGATGCCTGTTGCCTAAGACTCCTTTCTGTTCACATTGCTCAATCTTCTCTTACTTGAAATCGTTTTTAAAAACTTCGCTGAAGCTAAGGGTACTGACAACACAGGAGTTTAAAGGAACACAGGGAATCGATTGAGCCAGTGAGCATCAATCCTGAGTTTAGGCAGAAAAAAATCTCCTCTCCCCAAATTCGAATTGAAGAGAGAAAAACAGTCTGCAATTTTAAAATACATCCAAAGATTGGAGCATGTTTAGTCTTTTCTGTGTATCTGAAAAGCTGTCATTTACGCGTGGATGGTATTTATCAATCTGATGAGGTCGCCTCTTATTTCTGTGTTGAGGCAGAAAGTAAAACACAGCTAAATTTAACCCCTTTACTCTCCTAGCCATTCAAACCGCCAGGACATTAGCAGGGTCAAAGAAGTCAGGTTTTGATTCAGAGCCTTGGGGATGGGCTACAGGTTGAAGGAGAAAACTGGGGGGAAATCTCTCTCCTCCTCCCTCTCTCTCTTTCTTCCTCTCCCCCAGTTATTTTAAGAGAGGACACTGCAAATCAGTTAAATGTCTCAGAACTTGGGTCCCGTGGAAAAATGTACCAACATCACCAGAAAGATCAACTATCAATTGCATCTAATCATACTGACTTTTAACTTCCTAATCGGGCCAAGGGAATTTAAAAACTTCTTTTGGAAATGAATTTCACTTCACAATAGCTTATGGCACTTTACTGAGCTGCCAGGGTGGGTGCAGGGGGGAGATGGGAGAGGAGTTTACTTTTGGAAATAAGGTTCATTCCACAAAATTCCCTTTCAGTACCCTAATTCTAGTGTGCAACTCTAGCAATATCTAGAATTATGTAAAAATAAAAGATACCTTTATTCTCAAAGTTAATAACTGAAGTCAAATTACTTTTAAATGAATATGTACATGTTTCAAGGTAGCATCACAATGAAATTATTTTCTCTCCAGAAGAACTGCTTCTGATATTTTTAATAAGCTAACTGACTTCATTACCTTCTGAATCTTTCCTGTCCACCTGTATCATCTTATTCTGAAAATGGCAAAGTCACTTTAAGGGAATGATGTATGGAATAGAACTAATTTGAAGTACTGACCTGCAGCAGCCCAGCCTGCCCTTGCCCATGGTGTATTTGGATCATTGAGCACTGGCATTTTATGCTGCCTTATTCTGCCAGCCAAAGAGGATGAACATGATGGTAATCTTGCAGACTTTTTTTTTAAACCCCTAAACCCATCTTTGCCTGTTTTACAGAGCGGAGATGTGTTTGGACTTTGGAGAGTAGCTGATAAGATTTTGTGGATTCAAGCTATTAATAGTATTAGTTGAAAACATATTTGTGGAAGCCAGCTTTTTCAGGCATGGTGTGTTACTTAGTAATGATACTCTAATATTTAGTGGGCAGTCTGAATGATGATTTTATTTTAAAGAAATAAAGGATAAAGGAGCAATTCTTGTTCTCTGAAATCTCACTAAAATGCTTAGTGAAGGAATTCCAGTTTAACTTAGTGAAAAACCAAGAAAAAGAGGGTTCAATTATTTTTATACAACCTAGAGTAGCTCTTAACAGTGTTTTCAAGTAAAACTCCTCCATGGTCTATCCTGATGAATAGATGAGACTACTTTGTGATTATTATTATTTTTTAATTGA